TTTATCTTTAATAAACCCATACCTTTGATAAAACCTATTTGTTGCCATGCAATGAGTGCTTTCTCTGAAAACTGTCCTAAAATCCCTGGGTCAAGTGGCCTGTATGATTTTTTTTCCACTTTTCTTCAAATACATTGATGTACAGATTCTTCCAAACCTGCATTTTCATGTACCAATTATTTCAACATCCTGAGATGGAGATTATCCTGGGCTCCTGGGTTCAGTTCCTCTAGCACTGGAAATTTTATCTTTAATACAGAGCTCTGCCTCTTCTATTCCTTTTACCACTCTTTCCTTCCTAACAATTTATAACCAGCAATTTTTACATTCCACTCATGCGAATAAACCTGCCAGGTTTCAGTCATGCCAATTATATTGTATTTCTCATAATCCAGCAAGAATTCCCAAGTCCTCTTGCTTTTAATTATATACTCACAAGGTACTTCTCCCCAGCCCTCTCTGAGCAGCCACCTGTGGTGAATCACTGTGATGTGTGATTATCACAGGGGGCGGGGGACAAAGGTGTTGCAGAACCACTCTGCAGCTGTGAAAGGCTATGGCAACTTCTGGTATTTATGTCACAGATTTACTCATTTCTGCAGAAGCCCCTCTCCTTCTCTGGCTCCTCCTCAAGGCGCAGGCAGTGCCCACATTTCTGACCCGTTTTGACATTTACATCCAATCTAAATTCCAGTCTACCATTTCCTCCTTCAGAAGTGCTGAGGAATAGGTGGCATAGAGCACACAAAAGGTTACAGACCCCTTGCCCCCCAAAAGATTCAATCCAAACCCACAAAACAAGCCATGCACACACATTCCTGCTCTCCTGGTTTCTGGGGAGAATGGTGAGCATCCTTGTTTATTTAATGGGACTGTACTCTTAAAAGGCAGCTGGGCAGCTGCTCTTCCCCTCTGGCTGTGGATGTTAATACTGAGCTTGTCTGCTCACTGGCAGCTCAAGCAAGGTCTGAGTTCACGGGTTTTTCTATTAACATCAAAGCAAACACACAACTGAGCAAAACTGGCTGACTTCTCACTGCTTCCCAGCAACACAAACTATTTCCTATTCTCAAACTCCCTTTAGAAATTGATATGCCACCTTGCCTACTTGATGTGTTAATTTTTTCATGGTGTGTGTGCTCTTGAGTCATGGAATCCACCACTGCTGCTGTGAGTGCACCACTGGTGTGGTGCCCTGTGAGCTGCCCAAGCACAGACCTAGGCTCTGTATGCAACAAGATACACACTCCAAGTCACATTTTAAAAGAAATTAAATGCTGGTGAACTTGGTTCTGAGACATCTGGCCATGGCTAAGGAGCTCATAGCCCAGGAGGAGGCCCCAAGAGCAGAACAGGGCTCATGAGCAGCACAGTCTGCAGAGCTTTATCTTCTTTTATCACCCTTTGGGGGCTGGGTGTGTTGCTCCTACAGAAGGCACCTCCACCTGTGTGGGATCCAAAGCACTGAACCCACTCTGAAAGGGAGAACCTCTTTCTGGTAGACTGGGATTCAGCACACTTTTGAGTCACAAATTGTGCTAAATAATTACAGGACTCCCCCACCAATGATATATAAATGCTCCAGCCCTTCTTTTCCCAGAGGGGATTCACGATTACATTTCTCAGGTACGAAATGCTTTTTGAATTCTTGAGCTCTCCTAGACATGCTGGATAAAAATAAACTCTAGATTCACAAATTATTTCAGAAATAATCACAGCATTCAATCTCTGTTAGAGCTGTCAGTGGAAACCAGAAACTGGCACCAAGAGGCAGGCACGCTCCACTGGGCTCTGCACAAAGTGGATGGCATGCTGCTTGCTCCTCAGCCTCTGGAATCTAAATGCACATTGCAGATAAACAGGGGCAAGGAGAAGACACTCAAAAATTTGTTTGCTTCCTGCCTAAATGTCATTTTAAAGTGTGACTGAGTCCCAGCCCCTCCAGCCAGCTGGGAGCCCTGGAATCCTGGTCCCTGCAGCATCAGTCTGCTGGGAGCTCTCCTGTTGGCACTACAAGATCTGCTGTGTTGCAGCTGCACCAGTGCAGGGAGCAAAAAAGTTTTGACAGTGTGGCTGGAGGAGAGAGAATTAAAAGGCTGATGGCTGGAGGAAGAATGTGGCTCATAGCTGTGAAAGTTTGGAGGCTCTGGAGAGTTTTGGCAGTACCACAGTCACAGAGAGAGTTACTGGCATTCACACGTGCCTGGTGGGATCCAGCACAAACCACAGAGGACCCTACACGGGAAGGGAACCACAAGGATCATCAAATCCAGCTCCTGGCCCTGCACAGACACCCCAACAATCCCACCCTGTGCCTGAAGGTGTTGTGCAGACACTCCTGGAGCTCTGGCAGCCTTGGTGCTGGGACCAGTGCCCAAACACCCTCTGGGAGAAGAACCTTTTCCCAATATCCAACCTAAACCTGCCCTGACACAACTTCAGGTCATTCCCTCGGGTCCTGTCACTGGTCATGACAGAGGAGACAGCCTGACCCTCCTCTTCCCCTCATGAGGAAGTTGTAGACTGTGGTGAGGTCTCCTCTCATGTTGCTTAAATTCAGGCACCAGTGAGTCAGGGAGGAATCAGGAAGGGGATGGGAGCTGAGGGAATGGTGCTGACCATGGGCTCTGGCCATATGTTCTGCTGACAAGGTGTGAGGCTGGGAGTGACTGTGGAAGGGACTTTGTCTGAAGCAAGGCTGCTGCTGCAGTCACTTCAATGTGCTGCTGGTAAAGCTTTAAGAAAGATGCCACTGACAGTGTACAGTGCATTTGAGCTGGGGATTTAGACTAATTTAATACACCACTATTTGACAGTATTAATACAGTGCTGTTTAACACACACCCATGAGTGTGTGACTTGTGAAGGGGCAGGACTGGGGTCAGCAGGTGTGCTGAGCATGGGGGCTGAGCCTCTGGGGTGGATTCCTCACAGAGACTGAGTGCTGTTGGGTTGGGGCTGGTGCCTCGGGGCCCTGCAGCTCAGATAAAATGATCATCAGTCAGGCTGCAGAAGGCCATGACAACACTCTGGCAGTCTGGTATTACAAACCCATCAGTCTGAGCAAAGAGCTGTCAGGTATTTTATGTTGGCACTATTAGGGACAAATTTAGACCCGTGTCCATTACATTGTTCCTGTCCCTACCAGGAGCAGGCACGGTAAATCTGAAAGAGGCAGCTGTCTGTCTAAGGCAGTATATCCCTGTGCCTGCCTGGGTTATTTCCAAAGGCTGGTCACTCCTAGTCTGCTGACTGAGGAGTACTTCCTCCCAGGTTAGTGCTTCAAATAAGAGGAAACACTCAGAGAGCTGCTGTGGGGGTGTGGAGAGGGAGAAGCAACCCCTTCTCTCCTGCTTTCACCAAAACTTTTTACAGCAGGCTTCCAACTTTCTCCTGAAATCACCCACTACAGCACAGCTTTGTTTACCCGGTACAGAATAGATCACTGTGTTTCTCTTCTCCCACAGATAACTCACTTTTCTGAGTGGGCTAGAGTCACACAGTTACAACTTATCTCACACATAAATCTGGACTTGGAAAGATTTCAGTATGTGCCAGAAATATGGGCATCCTTGATCGTGCCAACCCCAGCTAAGATGCTCAAAAAGCCAGAGATTCTTAGGCTTCTCACTCGGCTGCTGTGGCCTAAGCTGATTCCCAAATCAGTAAGACAAATAAGCTTTTTCTTCTGTGGTTTTCTTTCTAACATCAAGAGTGTTGCTTTGGTGCTCTCATTTCAGCCTGGAGCTGTTGCCGTCCCAGGGCTGGAGTTCATGAACTTTCCTTTTTTACATTCAATTGAGTTTCAATAAACAACTAATTCTGCAAGTACTCTCCTCCAAAACACCAGGGAGAATACACAGCCTCTTGGGATGAAACAGGCTGAGCTCACTCCCCCAGGTTTTCCCCATTTAATACTACATTCTCACAGAGAATTCTATCAATTCTACCACAATTCTGCCCTAAACTTCCCATTACCAGAGGGGCTGTGTTCTCAGAGACATAACACATCCGTGGTTAGCTGCTCCTTTCTTCCAGCAGTGAATCTACTGATGTACTTGATCTACTCCTTGGGCAATGGTGGGATGGGATGGGATGGGATGGGATGGGATGGGATGGGATGGGATGGGATGGGAAGGGATGGGATGAGATGGGGAACACCCCAGTGAGGAGCAAGTATCCACAACCCATCATCTCATACCGTGTCACACGTGTAAACTTTATTTTTCAGTCACATAATCTAGAGAAGAGCTCTTTCAAAAGCAGAGTGTGGATGTTAGCTCTAGCAGACAGCTCTGGGAGTAGGGGCTGTCAGTTTGCATCTGCTGAGACTTAAATCGGTCCCAGGGCAGCTGCCTGCCATCCACCCTCCAGTGTTTTATTCCTTGGGAAGTGCCAGGCTACAGCAGAGCAAATTAATGCACTGATAAGCTGGGGAGATGTCTTTTTGAGTGCTTCCCAGCAAGTAAATGGCTGAGCAGGGAACAAAAATGAGCTTTCTTGTGCCCAGTTGAGCCCTTTAACTGCATTTCCCTGTTCAATAAACACACGCTCCAGGGCGGGCTGGCGGGCGGTCATTGACTTCAGGGGGAGCAGAGCAGAGGCAGGCTGGGCTCCAGCTGGTCCAAGCCGTGCCCTGTGTGCCGCCCTGTGTGCCGCCCTGCCACCCCCGGTGCTGGGGCGATGCTGTGGGATGCCAGCCGCTCCCCAAGGAGCGCTCCGAGCAGCGGAGCCCGCAGTGCCCGGCACGGTGGCACACGCTGCTGGCTCGGCTGCCTGGGCTGGAGAGCTCAGAGCCTGCAGCAGCCAGCAGGTAAACAAGCAGATCCCTGCTCCGGCAGGAAACAGGTTGCTTTTCAACAAAAGAACTGTTCAAACGCTGCCTCTCTCCGCAGGGCGAGCCTGCTCCGAGGCACGGCACGGCACGGCTCGCCCGTCGCTTATCACACCGAGGAGAGCACAAAGCAACACAGGCTGCGAGGAAGTTGGTTTAGACTTACCGGCAGCATTGATATTTTCCTCACAGGAGTACCAGATCCCAGTGTGGAAATACCTGAAAAGGAAGCGGTCATCTCCCGTCTCCCAGCTGTAATGAACCACATTCTGGTTCGTCTCATTTGCAGTCTCATTCCCGCCGTAGTTGAGGCAGTTTGTCTTCTTCTCTTTCCCACAGCTCGGCTTGGGGACCCTCTGTGTGCCCTCACACCAGTGGGTCGTGATAAAAGCTGTTGTAGAGAAGAGGAGAGCCATCAGATTCAGACTCACTGCTAGCAGGGCTCTGCATCTTCGATTTGTCTTCATGGTAAATCCGCCCTCCCTCCCCCTCCTGCTGAGAGAAGAAGTCAAAGGGGTTTGTTTTATTTGGGAGGGGGGGGTGGGTTTCAAAGCCTCTCACGATTCAGAATCCAGTTGTCCAGGCATCAAAACTCCCAGCTTCTTGCAGCGCGCTGTAGAAGCGGTGAAGGAAGCCGTGCAGGCAGACTCCCATTCTGGGCGATCCCTCGCAGCCCTTGTGGGTTAGAGCAGCAGCGGCAGCGGCAGCGGCAGCGGGGCCGGTCCCTCGCAGCCGCGGAGCTTCAGCGCGCTGAGGGCAGCGGAGCGGCTCTGCCTCCCGAGCAGCCCCAGAGGCGAGTGAACATCTGCTCGGCTACCGCACATCATCCTCCCCAGGGGCTCCGCAGCCTCCTCCGCTGGGAGACACCTGCAGGCTGCCAGGCTCGCTGTGCCCTGCTCCCGTAGGATGGGCAGGAGGAGGCAGGGACAGCTGCCACCCGCTGCCACCGTGCCCGGCACCGCTCCGAGCCCGCTGCGGCGCCGGGCTGGGGGAGGCGTCACGGCTCAGTCCCGAAAAGAATTATTATTATTATTATTATTATTAATGTGTGGAGCTGTGAAAGGCATTTTTCGTGTACCACGGGGTAGAGATTCGTCCAGGAGGAGGAGGAGGAGGGATGGAGTACTTCAGCATTTCTGCTCTCAGCTAGAGAGTAGTAAATCCAGGGCTTGATTCTGCTTTTGGCATAATGGTGTAAATCTCTCTTCAGAGCTTTGCTCTGGCAGCCCCAGAGGAATTTAGATTTGAAAGTGTGCGATGTGTGAAACCCACATCTTTCACAGCACCAAGCGGAGCCCCTTGCCCAGGCTTTTATTCCCAGACCCAGCTCTTGGAGATGTTTTGGTTGAAGTGGATCTGGAAGAAATTTTGTAGGTCCTACTTCGTGCAGACGGACAGAACTAATTAGAGCAATCCTTGGGCTTTATTCACCAGATGGCAATGCTGAGAGCAGGGAGGCTTAATACTCAATATCCCATTTCCAAGGAGAAGTGTGCTGTCCTCTCATGATGTCCAGCTGCCTCGTGGAGTTCCTGACCCCTTTGCACATTGCTCAGAGCACCTGGTGTGGTGGAGGCTCAACCCAGACCCCGTGTCCAGCACTTGTCACCCAGAAGTTCTGTCCCTTGGTAGATAATGCAGTTTTCTGTGAAGAAGCTCTTTGTGCCTTCTCAGTGGTGTTTGTTTCCAGCCTAGTTTGGGCTCCCTGCAGGGGCTGTGGGGATGCTCTGGCCTCTCAGAGCAGTCCAGCAGTGGCTTTCCCTGGAAATATCCACGTAGCCAAGCAGGCTCATGCCGACAGACAGGACAGTGCTCATGGACCCCACAGGCAAAGCTCCTGCTGTGCTTTGCTGCCTGCACACAGAACATGGGGGCAGCTTCTCCTTGAGAAAGCCAGGGAGGGTTTCCTGCTTAAGGCTTCCAGGACCTGGTCCTGAAGCCCCCTCACAGGTAGCCACAGGACTCGTTGTGGCTCTTTTTGGTGCCTGTCCCGAATGTCTGAGCCCAGCTGTTGATGAGATTTTCCACTATTTCTACACTCACTTGGCACTGGTCATTTTTTGTTATAAATAAACTAGAAAGCTAATAGAAAACTTTTGTGAGAAAACTCACAGGGCTCTGTGAGAACAATTGTGATGGCAGCTGTGCAAGTTTGGTGAAATAACTTTGAACCCAAGAGCCTTGGCCTTGCCCAGCCCTGCCTGTGCCTGCTGAGTGCCACCTCCTCAGTGCCAGGTTTTGCCCTGGGGTCTCTCCTTGTCCTGTTGGAATTGCAGAGCACCTCTCCCTGCCCCAGCCCTTTCAGCATTACATCTTGCAGTCAAGTCATCAGCATTCTTTCCTTGGTTTTAATTGCATGCAAAAAATCGAGGTGATAGCTATTCAGAGAACCACAGGATTATTACTTCAATTATTTTTATGTTGCAGGACATTTATTCAGTAATGTGTTTGTGGTGTTGCTGTATTTCTCAGGGTTATCCACTTGCTAAGAGGAATAAACAAAGCACTTGAAACTTTGACAGAAAGCCTTCACAAGAAAGCTGGTGCTGTTCTTCAGGACTGTCTTTCAAGTGGCTGCCAGCATCTGAATCATCACACTTCTCCAAGTGTGAATATAGGTCTTTACATCTCTTCTCACAAATTTTCTCTATCTATTGCCCTGTGGATTGTGTTTACTGGCCTGCAGCAGCAACGCCTGCACACTCTGCCTCTCCCTGTGCCATCTCCCCGAGGGGTGGGCAGCCAAGACTTTTGTTATCTGGGTGAATTTTGTCCTAAATTCTTCTTGCATTTGGTTTTTTCTCCTAATCCTGACAGATATTTCTATTTCTGTTGCCCCTTCTTCATTCTTGGTTTTCAGACTGGCAGAGCTGTTGAGAACTGACACGGTGGCAGTAAATTTTTAAAAAAGACAAAATAGAGCAGAAATTTGATTTGTTTTGTGATACAGAACTTTTAGAATCTTAAGCATTTAAAAAAACTGAGCATAAAGTAAAGTAGGCTCAGTCAGAGAATTTTTTAATATGAATAATTTTCTTTTTCCTAAAGGAAACAGTTTTTTTTTCATTGTTGGGATTACTTGAAAAGAAGGAAACTGCTCTCTGCTATACTCATTCTGTAATACTCCAACGACTTCTCTTTATATAATCTCTGTTTATCGGATTTATTGTGTATAAAAGTGGAAAGATCATACATATGTTGCAGAAGGCAGTTCAGATGCCTGGATTAAGTAGTATTTATGTGGTATTATCCTTAATGATAACGTAGAAGGGTTTGAATGCTACAGACACGTAATTTTCAGGTTGTGGCTATAGGAATCTTTAAAAATTTTTGCAGCAATAACTTTTCTCTGATGTTGTGAGAAGAAATACCTTCACAGGTTATAGTAACCCCTTTTCCTTTAGTATTTCTTACAGGAGCAGTGTAAATTGTAATTACTCAGTATTTACTCGTGTACAAAAAGAACTTGACCCAGAGGATTTAAAATAATGATAGCTTTTGCAAAAGGAATCTTTCAATCAGGCTCTGTTTTTCAGTAGTGGAAAACAGAGGCACCATTCACTAAAGTGAGAGGAAGCCCTACTTTTGGGTGTTCTGGTGCTGATGGGGACGTGGTGAGCTCAGGCTGGGTGTTTATTTGGAACCAGCAATGTCAAATGCATGGGATTATATGCTGGATTTAAATCAACATTTTAAACCCCCTTTAACTTTTATTTAAGTTTTCATTTCTTACAGCCCCGTCCTCTTGGGCTTCCTCATTCGTGTTTATTTTGTCCTTTTCAGCTGTCACTGCACTGGAGTTCCCAGCTCCTCCTGCCACTTTGGACTGGACCCCTCCTGGCAGCTCCTCTTTGCTTTTCCTCAGTACCACAGAGCCACAGAATTCACTTGTTCGATTCATTTGTTTTGCAAATGGCTCAAAATCTCCTTTTCTAGTTGCAATTTTCCTCCCTTGACACAGAGCTCTGCATAGATCATTTTTATCTCTCTCTCTTTGCACAGTAAATATGAATTATTGGTGTGCCCCCAATATACCTCCCCTGTCTCTGCTCTGTCCAGCAAAATGGGAATTTTCTCCTTATGTCAGTCACTTATTGGGTTTTATTTTTATATTTGGAGAAGTGGATTGGGATAGAAATACTGTACCTATTTCCTAGATTGTGTTACCCAGCTGTGAAGTTTGTGTTCTCTCTGCTCCAGACTCAGGCTCCTTTTTGCTGTTCTCACCCTGGTTTTTATCTTTTTCCCGGAGCTCTGACCCAAAGCAGTCTGTGTTCAGCAGTGATGCTTGGCACTCTGAGCACACAGGCTGGGCTGTACAGTCCTGCTCATCTCAGAGGTGCTGCTGAGACATAATCCTGATTTTCTGATAGAAATTAAGCCCTCAGCAAATGGGCAGCCCCTGGGGGTCCGTGTGGAGGTGGGCTGAATATTGATACCACAGGAAATATTGGTCTTCACTTTAACTTATGACTTGCAGTGTGTCTTTCACATACTTTGCCTGTGGACATTTAGGCAAGGACAAGAAGATTGCTCAGGAAATTCTCCCTGTTCCTAAAGCAGCCAGGCAAAAAATGGTTTCTGACAGTACTGTAGCAAAGACCTTTAGTAGTCTTGACAGAAATGAAAGTGATAAAATAAACTGTTGCTTCTCCCATAAAAATTTCCTTGGTCCAGCATCACTGGGCAGTAGACAAAACATTCCTGAGTGCCCTCCCCAGAGGAGCTGCTCTGGGTGCTGTGGTCAGTGGCCAGCATTGCTCATCCTGGCTGTGCCACCCAGGGGCTGCAGGGACCCTCCTGCCACACACAGGGTCCCAAACAGCATCAGCTGCATCATCCAGCACTGCCCTTTGTGTCCCAGCTGGCTGGGACTGGGATGCCAGCACATTTGTACTCATCTGCTATCTGCATTTAATTCTTCCAGCAGCTGGTGGAGAGGAAGGGAGATGAAAAGAAGTGACAGGTCTGAGTCATGTCTTGATTCGTGTCTGGGAGAGCTGGCTGGTTAAGGTGCCTGAAGAGGCAGTCCAAAAGGTCAGGGCTGAGCAAGCACAACATTCCCGAGGCAATTCCCAACAAGCCATTTACATGTGCCCACCTATGGTGGGAGTGAATTAGGTGTAATGTTGTCCTACTTCTGATCCTGAATTAGAAATTTTTCTGTCTTAGAGTTACAAGAATTATTTCCTCACAATTGGATTGGATTAAAATGAAAGTTTAATTAATATTTAGTACTCTTTGTGAAGGCTAACTTTGATATGTCGAAGTTATTACAAGAAGATACAGGCCCTCTTAAGAAGAACTCTAAAAGCAGAACCCACTTCATTCCTTATTGCTGCAATTAAAGAAGCATTCTTGCACATCAAAGCCTTAATGGCAGCTTGTGAGTCTCAATATTCCTGGGCACCCTGGCCTGGCATGAAAGCAACCCCAGAGCAAAAGTGGCCACAACAAACAGAGCAGT